CGAGCGAGAGGACGACGCCCCCGACGAGGCCGCTCGCAGTGCCCCGTGCTCTGGCCTGGCCGCTGCCCCAGCGAATGATTTTCTTTGCTGTCGGGGGGCCTCCACGTCCTCCTCCTCCTACTCCTAATCTTCCCCCTCCTCCTCCATTCGCTTTCCGTAATAATCAACCTTCCCTGCCGAAGCCAGTTATTAGGGCGGACCGGGCGTTTCGCCTGAGACTTACTCACCATGTATGACTTTGGAGCTTAAAAATTTGCAACTGTTTCACAAATGGAGGGCGGGTGGTTTTCAAAATGTGGCTCTCGCCCCAGCACCGCGCGCATTCGCCTTAAACATCTTAAGAGTCTCGCGGATTGAGGGCGGGCGGTTTTCAAAATGTGTCTCTCGCCTTAGCGCCGCGCACATCTGTTTCAAACATGTGCAATAATTTTGCGGATTGAGGGCGGTTCCCGTTCAAAATGTGGCTCTCGCCTCGGCGCCGCGCACATGCCTGTTAAAACTTGCAAGAGCTTCGCGGATTGAGGGCGGTTCCTTTTCAATCTGTGGTCCTCGGCTTAATGCCGCGCGCATTCGTTTCAACGTTTACAAAAGTTTCACGGATCTCAATGGTCAGCGTGCAAAAACTGATGATTTTAGAAGCATTCCGGATTATGAGGGTACAACAATTACATTGATTCGCAGTGTTGAGGTCCCAAGAATAGCGTTCTGGCACGATTCAGGATCGCCAAGACGCACAAGTTGATCCGTTACATTGGAATCCCGAGCGCAAGGTTCTGGCACGCTTCAGGGCTTTCAAGCCAGGCAACTCCCTCAGTGGAAATTAGCCCTTGTAGAGGCCTATGAAAAGGGAGCTTGGAAGGAGGGTTTATTCCAACATCGCTGATGACCCTTGGGCTTGCACTGGTCCTCTTCCTCGTCCTCCTCTCCCTCCTCTTCTGTTCCGTCGCAATTGCACATCATGAATACGATTGTCCTCTCTTCCCTGCCTGGAATCTCTACACGCGCGACCTCAACAACTGTCTTGTCTTATGTCTTTTTGCAATCCGATAATTGCCGGTGTTTCGGATAGTGCTCCCGCTGCAGCGTGCGTCTCATTTTCGGATCGGCGCTTTGGTCCCGTCGTTCAGAATGGCGCTTTCGCCCAGCGCGGGCCACTTTTCTGGATTCGAATCCTGTGCTATCGTTGGCACCCCCTTCATGTCCCCTCCTCCGTTTTCCTCTGGTCCTCCTGCTCCTCTCGCCCCTTCCACTCCAACTCCTGCTGCTGCTCTTCGTCCTCGTCCTCGTTCTTCCTTCTCCTTCTCCTTCTGTTCTTGTGTATCCTCCTGCTGGTCCGCCACCTCCTCGTCCAATGTACGCAGTTCCTTTTCTCCCATTGCGCATGACACAATCGGGTCCTCTTTGGAGTTCCTGATCCGCTATGACACGCGTCGGCGGACACAATACCACAATTCCGCCTGACGCTGTCCGGGCGCCCGGGCGGCCCGAATTCAGTTCAGAAAAACACACACCATCGAGAAAACATCGCGATAATTCCCCCTCCCAGCCGCGGCCGCAGCCACGGCCGCAGCCGCGGCCGCGGCTGGGAGAGGGAAGAACCACCGCGAAAAATTCGCAATAGTTTCTATCTTCCAGCCGCGGCCGCGGCTGCAGCCACAACTGCGGTTTTCGGTCGTAGCTCTGGTAGCAGACCGATCTCACGTCTCGATACTTCAGACTAGCGCTCGTGTTTTTTTCCATTCGAGCGGTGCTTCCAAACTACGCAGCTTGCCTACAGCTCAATGAAATTGAGAAAACACGCGCCTCTTCACAATTTGTGAAGAGTGCAAATAGTTTTTTAGTCGCTGCCCTGGTAACAGACCGATTGCCTAGATGCTTTAGACTAGCGCTCATTGCCTAGATGCTTTAGACTTTCGCTGGGGGTACCTGTAGTCCGGGGGGGGTACCTGTAGTCCGGGGGGAGGGTACTTGTAGTCCGGGGGGGGGTACCTCTAGTCCGGGGGGGGGGTACTTGTAGTCCGGGGGGGGGTACCTGTAGTCCGGGGGGGGGACCTGTAGTCCGGGGGGGCGCGCATGGGGGTACTTGTAGTCCGGGGGGGGGGGGGGGGGGGCATATGGTCATGCCTCAAAGCACGCGTGGTTCCACGCACGCGGGTGTAAAATACTTACGCGCGCGGGACCTCACGCGCATCGTTGCACACGACACGCCCGCGCGCACGCGCGCATGCACGCACAGACTCACACGCACGCGCGCACGCGCGCACGCAACCGCACGGAACCGCACACGCAAGCACACACGCACGCACACGCGCGCACGCACAGACACTCTGTATCATGACAATGACAACTTTCCAGATATTGCATGATTTACTTGTAGTTCCGGGGGGGCTTGTAGTTCCGGGGGCTAGGAGGGTACCTGTAGTCCGGGGGGGGTACCTGTAGTCCTGGGGGGGGTACTTGTAGTCCGGGGGGGGGGTACCTGTAGTCAGGGGGGGGTACCTGTAGTCCGGGGGGGGTACCTGAAGTCCGGGGGAGGGGTACTTGTAGTCCGGGGGGGACCTGTAGCCCGGGGCCCCAGAACTATTGAGGGACACAGAGTATCCCAGCCCCGTAGCTACCCTACAGCTCGAATTAAGCAGAAAAAGCAAACATCATCTCTTACAGAAATTGCAGAGTCCGAGCAGCGTTTTAGTCGCAGCTCTGGTAGTAGACCGATCGCAGACGTCTGGATACTGTAGGCGAAGGTTCATGATCATTCCCTGTTGAACAGTGTGCTTCCCAGCTCCGTAGCTTGCCTATAGCTCGATCTAAGTAGGGGGAGGCAACATCGCTTCTCAGAACATTTAAGTGTGCTAATAGTTTGATTGGTGTAGCTCTGGTAGCAGACCGATCTCAGGCGTCTAGATACTTTCGACTGGCGAATGCTCCTGATGATTTCTAGTGGAACGGTGTGCTTCCCAGCTCCGTAGCTCGCCTACGGCTCGAATTAAGTAAAAGCATCAACATCGTCTCTTTAAACATGCAGGTTGCAAATAATTGATTGGTTCCAGCTCTTGGAGCAGACCGAACTCAAGCATCCATATACGTACTTTAGACTAGCGCTTCTGATGATTTAATTCCGATTGCTATGCCGAAGATCTATGTAGCTCATCTAAATATCGAGTTAAATTCAGAAAACCGACATCACCCGTCAAGCTGGCTCTCAACACCCGATCCCGCCTGAGTGCTTTTTTATAGTAATATCCACCCGATCGACCTGAGATGAAGATGGCGAGCGGAAATAAAATCGAAGATGGGGGGAACAAATATTAGAACTCAAACAAATTATGGAATTTCGAGAAAATCATTTTTAACTGACAAAGCAAGACAAAACATCCGTCGAGATTTTTCGAGCCAGCTAGTCCGCCAGCGCGTTCGAATTCCTCTTAAGCTTCGCCGCTTCGCTCTTAGGGAAGCCCTACGAATTATAAGGCTTACTATGTATAGGCAATGAGCCAGAATATTCGAGTCTGATGTTTTTTTCGAAGTCAGATGCTGCTCGATGTTGTTTCGACATGGTGCGATATGACATCAGGGTCTACTGGTACGGTGAGGTCCGATAACGTTCGGGGCACGCTCTTCGCTTCCTCTTCTGCTCCACCATGCCCGTGTTCAACCGCCTGCTGATTGTCGGCCACGTCCCTCTCTCTCTCTATTCTTCTATCTCCCTCAAGAGGCCCTTCCTCCTGCCTCCCCTCGGGCCCCCATCCCAAGCAGGCCCCCAACAGGACTGGCCCGGCGAGCCCTCCAGCAGGGCCCCTCTGGAGCGCAGATCAGACGGAAGCCCGGCGCGCAGACTCCGAGAGGCAGCTGGCGCTGCCACCACGGGGGGCCTGCGATGGCCGTCGGCCGTCGGCCCCTGCCACGCCCCGGGGGCCGTCAGAGAGCGGCCTGCCCTCGTCGAAAGTAAGCAGAAGACTTCAGCATTCGGTGATTGTGGGGTCAGCGCTACTCCAATGCTGACGGATGCCTGTTGACTCGGACGCGGTGTTGTCAAGATATCAGCCAGCGTTGACTCCAAATATAGATAGGAGGACATGAGGACGAGAGGAGGATGGGAGGAGGACGAAGGGAGGACGGGATCAGGACGGGAGGAGGACGGGAGGAGCAAAATCAAGCAAGCGCAAGCAAGCAAGCGGAAGCAAGCAAGCGCAAACGAGCAAAAGCCAGCGATCAAGTGCAAGCAAGCAAGGGCAAGCAAGAGCAAGCAAGCGAGAGCAAGCACGCAAGAGCGTGGTGCCATTGGAAAAAGGGGGGAGGGGGGTGCCATTGGAAATAAGGAGGGTGCCATTGGAAAAAGGGGGGGAGGGGGGTGCCATTGGAAATAAGGGGGGTGCCATTGGAAAAAGGGGGGGGTCCTAAATGGCTCCTGCAAGCCTACTTGGAGAAAACCGACCCCACGCTCTCAGCATTATTGAAGAACGCGCTTTCTGACAAGTGCCCGAAAGCGTCGTGCTCCAGGACTTCACCTTCCATGTCTGGATATTTTTGACGAGGCTTGTAGGACGGTGTACCTGGCCCGGGGAAGGGGTCGAGACCTCCGGGGGTCCACGCTGCGAGAAAAAACGCGAGGATGGAGACTGCACAGGCACACGTCGGCGGCGAGCGAGGGGGAGAACGAGAAGGAGAAGGCCTTCTGAGGGGGCGAAGGGTTTTCTCAGAAGCCCTCGCGCCCTCTGAGGCGTTTGATGTGCCTTCGGGGAAGGCTCATTAAGCTTCTCAGATGGCCGGGGGACTTCCCGAGCCTTCTGAAAAGGCCCGCCCCCTCTCACTTCCCCCGGGCTCGCCCCCGAGTGGAACAGGGGTTGACCGACTTGGCTTCGAAACTGATTTTTAACAGAACAGACAGCGAAGGTCAGAGCAGGGTATGCATGCACCTCGCCAGCCAATATTTCGTGAGCGTGCGATGGACACACACAAGCCGAATGATAGGTCCGCCTGCCCAACCGGTCCCTTCTGTCCTTCTCCTCCCAAGCGGTGCGCCAATCCGCGGCGAGCCTCCTCGAGACAGCAACGTCGGTGTCTGCCTCCCGGCGCGCCGTTCTCCCGCCTGTCCTCCTGCGGACGATGCTGCTGCTCCTGCTCCCGCTGCTTCGCCTCCTCTGCTTCCCCCTCCTGCTGCTGCTCCTGCCAGGGCGCCACCGGCGCGCACGAGCGCCCCCACGACGCAGCTGCACCGCAGGCGGAGAGCTGAGCCCGTGCTGCCCCTGCTGCCCGTCTCCCCCGCTCCCGCCCCTCGCCTCCCGAGATCGTCCGTCCCTGAGGTTCCGCAGGCGCATCATAATGAGCCTGGTCATATCAAGCGCATCTTCTGCGCTCAGAGCGCATGAGATGCGCTCAGGAGATCCACGATGCAGTCGTGGATCATGCCTGCGAGTGCCGCATGCGGCACACGCGGAAATGAATGGCGCGCGCGGCTGAGAAGCCGCGGGCGCCCGCTAAGCAAACGCGCGGCGATTAAGAGGAGGAGGAGGAGGAGGAGGAGGAGGAGGAGGAGGAGGAGGAGGGGGAAGGGGAGGGGGAGGGGGAGGGGGAGGAGGAGGAGGAGGATGAGGAGAAGGAGGAGGAGGAGGAGGAGGAGTAGGAGGAGGAGGAGGAGTAGGAGGAGGAAGTGATAGTGAGCTGTGGGGAAGTCCGAGTGCCGATGTGCAATCAGCGGTTTGTTTCCTGTGGGAGCTGCGGATTCTGATCGTCGGCCGTTGTGGCCCCGATAGGGGCCATACTGGAAGCCATCCAAGGCTTTATGTGACTGCGTAGGCTCGAGGCCATCTTAGAACCATCTATATATATTTACATATATATATATATATATATGTACATATATATATATATATATATATATCTATATAGAAATTTTAATCGGAGAGGATCAATCTTGGAGGCAGTCTCAGCCTTTGGAACCATATTGGAAGCCATTTTGGCGGGCTCTTGCTGGATTGCAAGTCCCATCCTCCTCGTCCGGGCAGTCTGACTCGTCGGCGGGGGGGCCTCCTGGTCCCGCAGGGGGGACAGGCTGTTGTGCGGAACGCTTGCGTCCGTAGCCCAGTTTGGTGCAGGTGTTTGTTTTTGCTGGCGGCGCTTTTACGTATTCTCGACTATGTCCCCGAAGAAAGCTTAGGATGGCGATGCACTGACACTGGCGAAGCTCCTCGCCCCGCAGTGCGCAGGCCCTGCTGTCCTTCGGTACCCCAAGGAAGGCGTCGACAAAAACAAGATCGAGCAGTAGAAGGAGATTTTCATTTCGCTCAGGGCGGTGCAGGATAATCTTGATTTACCCCAGAAACAAATCGCCGCTGCGATGAAGGATCTTTTGGCCATGGTGAAAAAAGCATGGACGCCGACAGCGGCATCACGCCCATGTGGTCGGAGGGTTTGGCGGTGAAGTTCGAGCAGTCCTGGGTCGCAACACAGGCGGAGCGCCTTCGCCACATGTGCCAGCACCTGCAGCGAGCGCTGCGGAACGAGAATGCAGAGAACGTAGCCGAAGGTGCTGTGGAAGAGCGGCAGGACGCGGAAGATCAGGAGCAGCGGGTTGCTGCTGTTGATCTTCGGGGTCGGGCTGGCTGCCGTAGCGGCGCGGCGGCCGAATGGATGAACAAGAGCGCGTAGCGGATGCAGTTCACCCCGGAGACGTTGTACGTCGTCTCAGAGATCTTGAAGAGCGCCCCAAGGAGCGGGGTGGGCGTAGGGTGGGGCAGGACAGGCATGCTCATCCAAGATGGGAGCGCAGAAGACGTAATCATCGTGATGAACAGTATGCATTCGTTGCTCAGGACGTGGCTGTCGTGGAGGTGGCCGTACCGCATGCAAGCTGGTTGCCTCCCTCGGCAGTCTTGCCCGTCTCGCAGCTGAGGGAAGGGGGTCGTGACGGGGTCACCACGCGCGGTGCGAACACTGGGGCGGCGGCGCAGGCCATTGCGGTGGAGGGTGAAGGGGGGAGGTGACACGAATCGGTCCCCGGGCAAAGGCCCCGGTTACGGTCTCACTGGGCTGGAGGGCGCGGAACATTTCGTGTCCTGGCCACGCTCTGTTCTTGCTGGAACCAGGGCCCACACTAGAGAGAATCGAGGAGAGAGAAAGAGAGAGAGAGAGATAGAAAGAGAGAAAGAGAGAGAGAGAACATAACCTGGTCGACGGCCACATGTCTGAAGAACTGAAAGGGGAAGGGGGGTGGGGGCGGGGGGAAACGGGCGGGACGGAGGGAGGGGCGGAGGGGAGGCGAGGGGGGGGCGTCCGGGCCACCCCTCCTGTCGGAGCGCGGCGAGGTGAGACACCAGCAGCTCAAAATCGGTCCCGAGGCCCTTTCGGGGTTCCTAGCGCGCCGTCTTCTCCGAACTGCGTCCGGCCGTGGGGGCGAGGGGCCCCCCAAAGAAGGCCCACTGCCGCTGCCGAGGCCTCCTCTGATCCAGGCGCTGTAGCATGGGGGAACTCCTCCTCGTCTCCCTCCTCCTCCTCCTCCTCCTCCTCCTTCTTGTCCTCCTTCTTGTCCTCCTTTTTTTCCTCCTCCTCCTCCTTGTTCTCCTCGTCCTCCTCGTCCTCCTCCTCCTCCTCGTCCTCCTCCTCCTCCTCCTCCTCCTCCTCCTCCAGAGGTCCTGAGCGACAAGGGTCCTGGACCCCTGGGGTCCTCTCCCAAGACGAGACATTCATCCCGAATCGTTCTCTGCCAGCCCCGGGGGCCCGTGGGAAGGCCCCGAGAAGCCGAAAACGGAACAAAAAAACCTTCCTTTCCATTTCCCTCACGACCCGCTTCCTCCTCCTCCTCCTCCTCCTCCTCCTCTTCCTCCTCATCCCCGATCCATCAGCAGAAAAAACTCAGGATCGCTTTCCCTCACGACCCGCTTCCTCCCCTGGCGAGCACTCCTCGCCCCATCCGCCGCCCCCCCCCCCCCCTTCTCAGCCGCAGGGGCTCGCCTTGGCGCCCTCGTGGCGCGGGCGACGCGCGCCCTTGGGCACCTGACGGGAGGTGGGGCGCGCACCGGGCGGATTTGGACGCCCGAAATGGGTGCGGAGCAAATTGGTACGATGTGCAACAACAAATGCTGTCCAAAACCGACAGCGGCTGCCGTTGGTCAGGCGGCTTTTGTTTTCAGAGAACAACGTCTGCGGCGGCGCGGACAGCGAGTCCGGTTCAAAATGAAAGGAACTGCTGCAGTGGGGGGGGGGGCTGCAGAGGTAGGAGGAGGAGGAAGAGGAGGAGGAGGAGGAGGGAGAGGAGGCGGAGGAGGGAAGAGGAGAAGGAGGAGGATGAGGGATGAGGGATGGGGGATGGGGGATGAGGGATGAGGGATGAGGGATGATGATGCTGCTGCTGCTGAAGATGATGATGATGATAATGATGAGGAGGAGGAGGAGGATGATGATTACGAGGAGAAGAAGGAGGATGAGCAGGGGGAGGAGGAGTAACCATAAGTAACCATGAAGGGACAACGTCCGTGCAAAACAAAGCGAGTTTGGCGGGGGCCAATCCGAAGAAGAGCCCCCGCGGTGAGGAAGGACGGTTGGGCGGCGCGCCCGCCTGCCTGTAGCAGTCGGCGTCGACGGCGCCGTGGGCGGGGGCGGCGCGCGCGAGAGAGCGCGCACGGCGCGCCGCCCACTCTCTTCACTCCCATCCCCGTCCGACGACGACACTCCACCCACTCCGCCCCCACCTTGACTGGCCTCAACCTCCCCCCGAGCTCTCCTCGCACTGTTGGCCTCCTCGGCCGCTCTTCCAGCGCGGACCTGCTGGATGAAACGCGGGGGCCCTTTGTGCGAGGGAAACAAGCCTTTACTTAAGCGGGTAAGGTTTTGAGCTCCTTTGGGGGTGGGGACCGTGCATTTGCGTGCAAGCCACCTGCCATCGATCGTGGCAGTCATGCCGCACTGTGAACAGAAATGCAGGGAAAATTCAGGCCAGAAATGAATAAGGTGGGTGCTGTGCGCAAGGGTTGTGCCAATCCAGGCCTCCCCCCGCCGACGAACGAAATTCGACCGCCGCGAGGCGGCCGACTCTTCGGCTGGGGAAAGACCTGGGCAGGGCAAGGCGCAAAACCTGAGCAGCTGTGAGGGCGGAACGACCTGACAGCGCCGCCTGCACCTCCACTTCGACCCATACTGCTCGCAGTCGTGCGAGGTACCAGTGAGAGCACGAGTCTGCTGTGAGGGAGGAGGCGCTCGCTGCTTGCCCAATCTGGTCGCCTGCCAAGGATCGACTTGCAGGGCTGAAACCAACGCGCGCCTGGCTCTGCGTCTCACAAAATGGGCTATACAGTCAGACATGTCAGTCTTGGGCACAGGCTGCTGGGTGTACAACAGCAAGCCTTGCTCCGCGGCCTTACCTGCAAAATCGCTGGCGCACATATTGCCCGAGGTGAGGAAAGTTTGCCAATCAGTGAGCACCCTACCAGTATCCTCAAGATGGGCGGCCGTCCACACGATCTGCACTTCAGCCTCGCCCCTGCTACGAAGCGCCACCGCCACCCTATGCCACAAATCCTGATTTGGGCCTAGCTTGCCGTGGGCACGACCAGCGCGCCATCCATCAAGAACTGGTTGGCTATCTGTTACATGTATGATGGGCCCCGTGGTTTCCTCCAAGGCAATGGCGAGCGCAGCTATCTCCGCTCGCGGCACAGTCTGCCGCGGCCCAAGGAGGGGGGCAGAGACCCCGCAAACAGGCTCCCAAGAGCCATCCGAACCACGACTGATCAGAGCAACTCCTGAACCACAGCGCCTCCTGCGGGGATCATTACTGTGCTTACCCCCAGATCCATCCCCAAAAAGATAGGGTGGGCCCTGGCCAGGCTGGGCGCAGGCCTCAGACAGCCGAGAGGTGCCATGGTACGTGTTCGGAGGAGGCTCGAAGGGGGTCAAGGAAGTGGGGGCAGGTGAGATCTCTCGCTGGCACACCACCTCTCAGCCACAACGAAGGATCGGCCTCCCACTGTACAGCCGCCTGAGTGCACAAGGCCTGTGTGCTGTCAAAGTCTGGGTGATCAACATTGCATTCGCACTGCCATATACGGTGAAACAAAGTCTCAGGAGCCCTCTTGCACCTTGGACAAGTTACATCAACCGTGTGGCCACTGTCAGCTTGGCGCCGCCGTGGCCACTGGCCTCCAGAGGCCACGCACAAAGTGAGGCCCCAGAGGTCGGCTTGGCCCTGAGACTCAAACCGACGGAGTTCCTGAGAAAGGGGGAGGAGATCGGCCCCTTCACTAAGCGAAGTGCCTCCTTCGTGCTTCGCAGCGCCCTGCCAAAGGCCTGCTCTTAAATCAGAAACAAACTCGTAAAGCAAATCGGTGTGGTCAGTGAGAGCCAACAATTCAAAGTTGGGATCGCCTGGCCTCGGAAATCTCCAAGCGTGATTCGAGTGAGACGGCCGTTCCCAGAGGTCTGGTTCTCGGGGCTCCCAGCCAGCGTCGAGCAGCGTGGCCTGGACAGCGGCTATGGGGCCACGTATCCCACGCCAGCGCCGAGGACCCTGTTTGTCGAGCTGCGCCCTGACTAACCCCCAGGAACGGCGGATGCGCGGCTGGAGCGCTGGAAATCTTTTCCAGAGCTGAAGCCACGAGTCAACGAGTTGGCGCCTGACCTCCAAGGCTGGGTCGCCGTCTCCAAGCACTGCCTGCAGCACGGTGGTTAAACACTTACCTTTGCTGTTGCCAGGGGCCGTGCGAGCAGCTTGCCGCCTAAGAAGGAGGACCTGACTCGGTGGCATACCCATCACTTGGTGACCGTAGCTGGCCTGAGGCAAGGCACCCGTGCGCCACGCGCCTTGAGTGACTTTCCGCAAGCCTGCCAGCCGCCTCATCTTAAAAATGCGAGAAAACCTGTCGCTGGCCTTGGTCATCCTTTGCCCAGCTTTCTTACGAGTTCTGAATCGACCAGCCGCGGTGTCAACACCTAAATCGAGACCAGTGGGAGCATACTTGGCAGGCATCCCTCGGGCTCTGAAAATCCGAACAACGCGCTTGCCTAGATCAGGAGACGACGCCAAGACCACCGTTTTGTCCGAGACCGTCAACCGCTTAGCTCTGAACCTTCCGAGAACGCATCCGCCAGTCCTAGCATCTCCGAAACGACAGTCTCAGGAGTGCCTTCTGAACGCCCAACGGTGTCGTCAACGAAAGTCCACAAGGAGGCCTGGGGGGCTCGCCTGTGTGCTGCATCCAGCACAGAGTGTAAGAACACTTTTCCAAGACACACACCATGCGACGAGCCTGCGACGATCGACCTTCCTGGGCAGAACGGCTCACTGATGACCGAGCCCTCCTTGAGGATGCGCGGCGACATGAACAGCAGAACTTCCATCAGCACAACCGTTGGCGGGAAATTGAGGCCACGGGCTGCCACAATCAACAGTGTGAACGAGATCGAGTCGTAGAACTTGGCGATGTCTAGCAACACCGTGGCAGAAGAAACTTTAAATGTTGCTGACGCCTCGTCCATCAGGCTGCGCATCATCGCAGCACGCAGCGCACTGCTGCCTCGTATGGCAGTGTCCCAGAACGCCGAGAGCCCATCTGACCATTGAGACGTGATCGAACTCCTGGCCTGACTCCACGTTTTGCAACACTGAGACAACATCCCCAAGACGCGCGATCCCCCCGCAGGTTGGGGAATGACCGCACATATCGTTGCCAATAGAGAAGTCGGCCACGTCTGGTAAAGCTCCACTTGGTTCAAGATACAAGTAAGTTCCGTCAATCCTGCAGGGGGCATGCGCTGAAGGTCAACTGGTCCCAGTCCGTCAACTCCTCTGGCTTTGTTGGGGGCCTGTCTGCGAATAACAGATTCTACCTGACCTTCATTAAGCGGAGGAAGAGGGTTGTCCCGAGCGTCGCGAGCGATGCCTTCCAAGGTCCAAAGCAACTGCTCTCGGGTGTCATGTGACTCCGTCCAAACGTTCTGCCAGAAATCCTTCTTGGTGCGTATCAACACGTTAGGGTCAGCCGTGTAAGCGCCGGCAGGGGGAGGAGGAGGAGGAGGAGGAGGAGGAGGAGGAGGAGGAGGAGGAGAAGGAGGAGGAGAGGGAGGAGGGAATAGGAGAAGGAGGAGGGATGATGCTTCTGTTGCTGCTGATGATGATGAGGAGGAGGAGGGACACACTGATGATGATGATGATGACGATGATGATGATGATGATGATGATGATGACGATGATGATGAGGATGATGATGATGAGGAGGAGGGATACTGATGAAGATGATGATGATGATGATGATGATGATGATGATGATGAGGAGGAGGAGGAGGAGGAGGAAGACGAAGGACGAGGAAGAGGAGGAGGAGGATGAGGGATGAGGAGGATGAGGAGGAGGAGGAGGAGGAGGAAGCGGAAGAGGAGGAGGAGGAGGAGGAGGAGGAAGGAGGAGGAGGGGGGGAATGAGGAGGAGGCGGAACTACTGTTGGGTATCGTGCCCATTCGTTCCGTACCCATTTCGATCGTCCCGAGAGGAGGGCGAGCGAGCGGGCGAGCGCCAGCATGCCGTGCAGCGCGCGCGCGGGGAACGCCTCCCAGAGGGGTCGACGACGCGCGCGCTCCCGCGCGCGCAGGAGAGTTGGGGCGTCTGCAGCACTCCCCCTCGGGCGGCGCTGCCGGAACTATCATGACGGGAGGTCTTTCTCTATTCTTCGGCCTCTGGGGTCCCTCACCGGACCTCGTGACAACGGCTCGGGATGAAAAGCCGGTCCCGGGGAATGAGTCGAGACCTCCAACGAGACGTCGGAGGCCTTGGGCGGGGGCCAGAAGCCCTCCTCCTCGTGGTCCACGCGGCTGCGAGGTCCGCCTCCCTCGTGGGCCACCAGCTTCGAGTGAGGGGCGGGGCAGGGATCGACCCAAGCGTTGTTGTTTCTTCTCGTTTTGTGTTCGTTTTCCCTCGTTTTGTCTCTAAGCCGCCGTTGCTGCCAAAACGGGATCGAAACGGCGGGGCCAGGGTGGCGGCGGGGACGACGCCGACGAGCGGCGGCGCGCGCAGGGAAGGAGGATGTGCGGCGGCGAGGGGTGCGGCCATCTGACGAGGCAGAGGTCGGGCACGTCCTCCTGCAGGCGGATTTTTGGAAGAAGATTGAAACGAGACAGACAGTAGTCAAAAATACAGTCGGACGTGATTGGAGAGGACACGTGAGAGGACACAAGACCCTTCCGAGGGCCGCGTTGCCACAGAAATGCAGGAGGCATGGGTCGCAAAACACACGACACGAGGGTACCCTTGATCTGGCAGGGTCGACCTACTAATCCGGGCCGACTGCACAGGCGGATCTTGGAAGAAGAAGCTAAAACGAGACCGAAAACAACCAAGCAAAGTCCAGAAAACAAGAAAAATCGTCCCAGACGATGCCTGGACTCCTCTTGAGCATGCCTCCTACAGAGGGGGCACGCCCGAACTCGGATGAGGCAGGCGCGGGGAGGAGGGGGATTGGGAGGGCGATTGGAAGGGGGAGGAGGAGGAGGAGGAGGAGGAGGAGGAGGAGGAGGAGGAGGAGGAGGAGGAGGGGGAGGAGGAGGAGGAGGAGGAGGAGGAGGAGGGGGAGGAGAGGGAGGAGAGGAGGAGGAGGAGGAGAAGGAGGAGGAGGAGGAGGAGGAGGAGGAGGAGGAGGCGGAGGAGGAACAGGAGGCGGAGGAGGAGCAGGCGGGGCTTCTCGGAGGCCCTCCCGGCTCCTGCTGGGCAGGCCCCCGCCTTCCCACAGGGGAGGCCGCCCCCCTCGCGCTGCCCCGCTTGTGCCGGCCGCTGGCCTCCAGCGGGGACCTGCACTCGGCGGTGGACAGGCCTCCCTTTTCAGTGAGCCTCCCTTCAGTGAGAGCGGCCTGGGACCGCAACCGACGGACCTGGACCCGCAAATCTGACGGCTGCGACGCCCTCTCGCGAACCGAGAAGGGCCAATTCGCTGATCGACGCGTCAGGGTAGGAGGTCTGTGCACCCCCGACGGGCAATGAAGGCAGCGGCGCTCGGGACAGCCGCGCGGGCCTCCAGCCGCTGCCTCGGCCAGGTCTCTGTGCTGGCTCGCAGACGGGCCCCAGCGATGGCGACCGTGTGAGCCAGGAGGAGGAGGAGGAGGAGGAGGAGGAGGAGGAGGAGGAGGAGGAGGAGGAGGGGGGAGTTGGAGGAGGAGGAGGAGGAGGAGGAGGAGGAGGACAAGTGGAGGAGGAGGAGGACAAGAGGAGGAGGAGAAGGAAGAGGAGGAGTGGCCTAAGACGCTGGGTCGGCCAGTCTCGTAGCTCGCAAGAGGCGCACTGGGCTGGGACGGCAACGAGAAGTGCCGCACCTGATCGGACCATTGGCCATCGGAAAGGGTGCTTCAGTTCATGGCCGCTGCGGCGGGACTGGGCGCCTGGTTTGACGACCCTGTCGCACGCGATGGCGACGAGGAAACAAGAGCGACCATTCGCATAAACAAGCACATTCGCACTGCGCTTGCCCAGACGCCTCCGCCTGCTCCATTTGCACATAGCGCGCCGCCGACACCGCGTAACATCCCAGACCTCACTGCGGCCTGAATCCAGAAGATCCATCGAAAACGGCCATCCAAAGTCGTGGCCACGCAAGCGGCACTGCACTTCAACACAGGCGGCACTGGTGCGCGACAACGATTTGGCCGCCCCACAGAAAAACGCCAAACATCACAGAGGCACAAGCCGATCACCACCCAGGCACGGCTGCAAATCTTCGCGGTCCCAGCTGGCGCGACGCACACGCTGCCTCTCAGCTGGGCCAGCAAGACATTCGCAGCGGCACGCCTGGCCACAGAGTACCGAGAGTGCGGTGCGTCGACGCGGTGCTCCTCCCGAGCACCACCTGCGGTCGACGGCCCAGCCTGGCCCGCGGGCGCCCCGTGCGCGCGAGCGAGCCCGCGGCGCGCAGGGGCCGGAGGGCCCCACGCGCGAGGGGAAGCTTCAGGCGATGGCCCTGCCGAGGTCGAGCGCACCTCCGGCCGCCGTGCTCGGGCGACCCTGTACGGAACGTTCGAGATGAGGGCGGAGGGGGCCGCTATCGGGGTGGGGGGCTGCGTGCGATGCGATGCGATGCGACCACCGTTGCGGACAGCGTCCGGGCCTAGAGCAGACCAGGTGGGTGAGGCCATGGCCTCTAGAATCTGAGGTGTCTGGATTCATGCAGTGCGAGAAATGTTAAAAGTTAGGAGGAGAGGCGGAGGAGGAGGAAAAGAAAGTCCTTGATGTCGGTGTCGGCGCGGGTTGGGCAAGACGTCTCGACGTTCGCTGAGATCTTACGTCATTGGCCTGAGTCCCGGGTGCTGGTCGACGTGAGGTCGGGGTGGGGGGCTGGGGGGCTGGGACGAGAAGAGGAGGATTGGACTGTACGCCAGTAGCGGCAGGGGCTGCCCGGGCTCGCTCTCTCTCTCGCTCTCTCTCGCTCTCTCTCTCTCTCTCTCTCCCCTTCCTCTGGCCATCGCTCGGACGTCCATTCCCCGTGCATCGTTCGATTTCGTGCGTGCATTTTTTCGCGAGGTGGGCCAACATGCTCCTCGATGGTCTTCGCCGAGAAAAAATACACACGTCCGAGCGATGCCGAGTCCTTTGCATCCTCTGCCCTCGCCTGCTCGCATCACCCCTCCTCCCTCGCCTCGACCCGCGCCCACCGTCCAGTCCGCGGAGCAGATTGGACCCTGGGGGGGGTTCCTCCGAGAGCGTGCGCCATCCTTCTCCTCCTCCTCCTCCTCCTTTTCCTTCTCCTCCTCCTCCTCCTCCTCCTCTTCCCTTCCTCGCTCCTCGCTCCTCGCCACTCGCTCCTCGCTCCGCGCTCCTCGCTGCTCGCTCCTCTTCCTCCTCCTCCTCTTCCTCCTCCTCTTCCTCCTCGTGTTTCTCCTCCTCCTCCTCCTCCTCCTCCTCCTCATTGCTCCGACTCGTCCTGCTCCCTCCTTTTCTCAGAGAATCTTCGAGAAGCCCGCAGAGATCCCGAAACCTCATCCGCCTCCTACTCCTCCTCCTTGTCTCCTCCTCCTCATCCTCCTCCTCCTGCTGCTGCTGCTGCTTCTCTCCCCTCCGTCTCTTTCAAGAAGAGGAAGCGGAGGAACAGGAGGAGGGAGGGCTGCGTTTTCAGTTGGGAGGGGGGGTCTGGGTTCTGGGGGGGGGGCGTCAGGTCTGGGGGTCGTACGATCCCTCCTCCCGCCCCATCCATCTCTTTGCGGAAAAAAAAGAGCCCTGGCGGAAACGCGTCCTGGACCGAGGGGGGCTTCCTCCCGGGAAGGGCCCCGAGAGCCCGAGAGCGGCGACAAGTCCACGGGACCCATCTCCTCTGGGACCCTGTTGCTCCAAGGCGATCCCTCCTGCCTCCTCCCTCCCTCCCTCCCTCCCTCCCTCCCTCCCCCCCTCCCCCCCTCCTCCTCCTCCTCCTCCTCCTCCTCCTCCTCCTCCTCCTCCTCCTTTTCCTCCTGCTCCTCCTGCGCCCTTCCTCCCCTTGTTCCTCGTCCAGGCCTGCCGCCCCCCTCGAGGCCGGGGCGGGTGAGGCCCGGCGCGGAGCCTTTCGGATCCTGCCGCCGTCCATCTCGAAGCGGCCAGCCTGCCAGGGGCGACGCCGCGGGGCTGGATGGGGCGCAGGTCGGGAGGAGGAAGCGGGACGAGAAGGGTGCGGACGGAGAGGAGGGAGAAGGACGAGAGAAGAGGCAGAGGAGGAGAAGGAGGAGGAGGAGGAGGAGGAAGAGGAGGAGGAGGAGGAGGAGGAGGATGATGATGATGATGATGATGATGATGATGAATTATACCGCTGCTGCTGCTGCTGAGGAGGAGGAAAGATAGAAGGAACAGGAGGAGGAGGAGGAAAAAGAGGAGGGCAGGCAGCGGAGTATCCGCCCGAGAATCGGACCACACCCGCTGTGAGCAGGCTACACGGCGCTTCTAGTGCCGCCGCCCCCCACCCCTCCGCCCGCCCGCCCGCATCGTTTTCCTCCTCCCCCTCCTCCCTCCTCCTCAGCAGCAGCACCGGTATCATCATCATCATCATCATCATCATTCCATCATCATCATCATCATCATCATCATCATCATCATCATAATCATCATCATCATCATCATCACCATCATCTCATCAGGCAGCAGCAGCAGCAGCAGAATCAGAATCAGCATCAGCATCCAGCATTCAGCATCAGCTTTCATCAGCATCAGCCATTCAATCATCACATATCACCATCACCATCACCATCACCATCCACCATCATCATCATCACCACCATCATCATCATCAACATCAATCATCATCATCATCATCATCATCATCATCATCATCATTCATCATCATATATCATCATCATCATCATCATCATCATCATCATCATCAATCATCTTCATCATCATCATATCTCATCCGCTCCTCCCCCCTCCTCCTCCTCCTCCTCCTTGGTTTTTCTTCTCCTCCTCCGTTTCACTATCCTCCCCTCAGCATCAGCATCAGCATCAGCATCAGCATCACCATCATCATCACATCACATCATAATACATCATCATCATCATCATCATCATCATTCATCATTCATGATCACCATCACCATCACCCATCCACCATCATCATCATCATCTCATCATCATCATCATCATCATCATCATCATCACCACCATCATCATCATCATCATCATCATCATCATCATCATCATCATCATCATCATCATCATCATCATCATCATCATCATCCGCCTCCTCCTCCCCCTTCTCCTCCTCCTCCTGGTTTCTTCTTCTCCTCCTCCGTTTCACTATCCTCCCCTGGCCTTTATCTTTGCCCTTCCGCGCATGCAGCCGCCATGGCGGCGCATCCAGATCGCCGCGGCGCACCCCGGCGCTCGGCGGCGGCGCGCCGAGCTCAGCCTGGGCTGGCGCAGGCTCGCGCGGTGAAGTCGTGGATCCAAGGCTGCGGCCGCCCTGGCTGCAAATGCTGCCGCCCTCCGAAGATGGGCGAGGCCCTTCTGGCGGCGCTCAAGGTTGGTGGAGATGTTCAGGGTGAATTTCCTTTAGTCGGAAGGAAAAACCCTCCGGTCCACTGCGGTGGCCGCTTACGCGCTCTGGATCGGCCTGGCGCTGCAAAAGTCGCTGGCGCCGCCGTTCGCGCGTCGCGCGCACGCACGCATGCACGCACGCACGCACGCACGCACACAGGCACACAAGCACACACATAAGCACATAAGCACACAAACAGAAAAATCCAAACACACACAAACACACACACACAACACACACGAACACACACACATACACAAACACACAAACACACAACCACACACAAACACACAACCACACAACACACACAAGCACACACGAGCACACACAACCGCACACACGCACGTACGCTCACACGCACGTTCTCACACACGCCAACACGCACACACGCGCACACGCGCACACGCGCACACGCGCAGACGCGCACACGCGCACACGCGTACACGCGCACACGCGCACACGCGTACACGTGGACACGCGCACGCACGCGCACGCGCACGCGCACACTCACATGCACACGCACACGCACACACAGACAGACACACAGACCCGCACACACTAACACACACGCACGCACGCATCAACCCACCCACCCACCCCCACCACACATACGCACACACACACATTATACCACACACACGCGCGCGCAAAGACGGACACACGCACACACACACACACACACACTTGCGAATCTTCTCCTCGTCCTCCTCCCTCCCCTTTCTTCTCCCCCTTCTCCTGCTCCCGAGGCAGGTGGAGAGTACCTTAAGTTTCCCCGTAACGCGTCCTTCTAGGTCTAACGTTTGGGAGGGTTGGACATGAAATCCCTCAAACTTCACCATCGGGAGAACACGTTCAAACACTTGTCGTCGCAACCCTCCCCGCGACCACGATCGTCAAGTCACACTATCCAGGAGTGTCTGAGATGCATGCCGAATCCAAACATCCGAATACAAATCTAGAAAACTATTTCGTAGGTGCCAATATTTTTAACACAGGAATTGCGATCCCAGGGGTTGATGCCCACGCAGACCATGGTTCATCAGCGCATCTTCTTTGGATTGGCTTACTTACGGTCAGGGGCAACCAAGAAACTTACGAAGCAAGTGCAGGCGCTCTCTTGCATAGAGGCGCCCAGGCCGGCTGGATTCTGATCGTGGGAGGCTTCAGGTAAAACCCGATTTGTTTCGTTTTGAAATGCGCTCCTTGTGCTTATTCTCTTTGGCCTTGTCTCCCCCCCACCCCCTAAACGGAAGTTGGCTCGAGTCAGGCCGGCGCGAATCGCATGGAGTCCAGGCTACCTCGTCGACTCGTTCGGGCCGCATGCCCCTGAGTACAGAATACGTACTTAGAGGACACAAATAGATCCTGGAACCACCAAGCCAGGATATGCTGATAAGCTAGCCCCCTCTCCCCCTCCAGAAATTCCAGCCGCCCCCCTGGCTGTGGAGCAGCAGCACGAATGACGGTGGAGAAAGGCAGGCTAGTGGACCTGCTTCCACTGCCAAACCTCCTCCTTCTCAACCTCCGTCCTCTGTCCTCATTCCTTCCTCCTCTTCTGTCCTCATTCCCTCCTCTTTCCGTCCTCCTCCGCCGCCGCCTACCCTCTCTCCTCCGTCCTCCGTCCTCTCCCCTCTGTGCTCACCCTCCTCAAGCCCTATCGCCCCTCCACGATCACACAATATGAATACTTCTCTCCCCCCCCTGAACTGCTGAAAAAGAAGCCCGGACACATCCGCTTACGGTTTTTCGCAAAAAAAAAAAAACATCAATTATTTTGTCTTTCCCATGTGCCTTTCCAATCCGACGCTTTCACTTTCCTTCCGCGCGTGGCTTGTGAAAACCACATGATGTGCGCCAGCTGTGTCTGCTTGCGCGTTTTCCAATCCGGATGTTCTTGGTCCTTCCAGAAAGGCGATCTCGCTTCATCGTTCGCCGTCAACCAACTGAACCAATAAAACGATTACACCAAACTATCTGCCTAAACGAACACCCCCAACGACCCGTTATTTTTACGAGGGCCAGGGTGGACGCGGTAGGGTCACCGGTGACCCGCGCGGGTCACCATCGAGCGGGCAGCACTAGCAGGCAAGCCACTCCATGCTCCGACATGCTACCCTCTGCCGTGCTCTTCTACGGCATGCTATGCCCTGCTCTACCATGCATCGCGCACCCTCTCGGGATCATTGTCCTGCTCGACGTCCGACTGCGCGAGTAGAGATGAGATCTACGCCATGGTAAGCAGTGGGAGGGAGGGAGAGGATGTCGGATATGACGCGAGCGCACCCAGCTTGCCGTTCCCCCCTCGCCCCGCCTCCCCCTCCCTCTCCTCCTCCTCCTCCTCCTCCTCCTCCTCCTCCTCCTCCTCCTCCACAATTACTCCATATGAGTACTACTCTCCCTCTTCCCCTGATGACGGCTTGAAAGTGCTCGACCCCCCCCCCGCGTACTGTTTTTTTGCACACAGGTTTTCCCGGAGTTGGGTTTTCGCTTGCATTTTTTCAAAATGCTGCTCTCGCTGAGGCGCCGGCATCATTTTCGGGCCCCGCTCGTTCCGAATTCGTGCTCCCGCTGCAGCGCTGGCCTCATTTCCGTGCTTCCGCTCGTTCCGAATCGTGCTCCCGCTGCAACGCTGGCCTCATTTCCGCGCTTCCGCTCGTTTCGACTCGTGTTCCCGCTGCAACGCTGGCGTCATTTCACGTGCCATGCCACGGCATGCAATGCAATGCTAGGTTGATACTACGCTTTGCGGTGCTCTTCTACGCCATGCCATGCCGTGCTCTACAATGCATCGCGTACCCTTTCGGGATCATTGCCCTGCTCGACATCCGACTGTGCGAGCAGAGAGGGGATCTTCTCCATGGTAAGGGATGGGAGGGAGGGGTGGGATGTCAGATATGACGCGAGCGCACCTAGCTTGTCC